CAGACACTGCTGTTAGTTCTCTTGAGCCTCTCGACCGATCTCTCTCTCTCTCTCTCTCTCTCTCTCTCTCTCTCTCTCTCTCTCTCTCTGGTGTGGGGTACCAAATATGCTGCCCTCTGGAAGTACATCTTTATTTCCGACTGTGCTCTACTGGTATATTTGTACATAATTCAGAAACTACAATAATGCTGCACAGGGGTCATTTCGTAGAAAAAGAGGTGCAGGAGGTGCGGCGGTGGGCGAGCAGCCCTGGCGACCCAGTGAGCACGACGTCGAGCGATAGAGTCCGGCGGAGTCGTGGGGCATGGTGACGTGGCGGCGTGGTGCGGCGGAGCCAGCAGGACGTGAGCCGGAGCTGCAGCTGGTGCGGGGCCGCGCACCAGGATAGGCCCACCGGAAGAAGCCGCTGGACGGGAAAAGACCTGTTCCAAGGCGCCGAGAGGTGGAACGCCGACATCCGAAGCCCGCTTGAAGGAGCCGGATAACAACAAGCCCTGCTACCTGGGTGCCGGTAGGAAGTCACTTCCCTATATAATGTGGCCCTAGATAGGAAATCGAAAATTGTATGTAAACCGCTCAGAGACCCTTCGGGGTTAGAGTGGTATATAAACTGAATGTTAAATAAATAAATAAGAAGCTCATTAGCATAACTCATTAGCATAATTTATTTGCGTATGCCACACCCCCTGACATCACCAGAAGTGTGTCAGAAGGCAACACCCACCGCTCAGGCTCCACTGGACTGTTTTAGATTTCTAGCTATTGGGGGGGGGACATGCAGATCTAACCTCACAGAGGAGGGAGAGCTTGTACCTGAATAAAACTTGGTCTTAAAGGTACCCCTGGACTGTTTTGGATTGCTAGCTATGGGGGGGGGGACACACGGATCTGCCCTCACAGAGGAGGGAGAGCTTGTACCTGAATAAACCTTGGCCTTAAAGGTTGCACTGAACTGTTTTGGATTGCTATCTGGGGGGGCTCTGCAACGTATCTGTGGCCCGGGGCTGCTGAGAGCAGGGGGTGGGGGTTGTTGCATGTGCCCGCCCCCTGGGCTCTTTACGTGCGCTCCCACAGGATGACCCCTGAGTCGCTGCAAGTGTCCAGTGCTTTCTCCTCCAAAGGGAGCCAACCCGGATAAGCTCTAGTTCCTTGAACCCCGCACAGCTTGGAGTTCTGGTGGTATATAACAAAGCAGTTGCGGCACGTGGATAAGAAGTACATATAGCACTGTTCAGTCCTCAGATCCCTTGGAAGATGTGATTGTAGCTCACAGGAAAAGAAGTGAACTAGGAAGGAAGCGCCTGGCTTTGATCCGTGTTTCTGCTAGTTGTAAATAAAAATTACTTGCTAAATGCAGTTCAGTGTTAATTGTACGCCTCAGGGAAGACCACATTGCTGCCAACTTCACTTCCCCTTCCATGTGTTTAAACCAGGGGTCATTTCCTGCAGGAGCACACAGGAGCGGAGCTCCAGCAGTAAAGAGCCCAGGGGGCGGGCACATGCAACAAGCCCCACCTCCTGCTCCCAGCAACCTTCAGTCAGAGCAAGAAGCAGCCAGATAAGTTGCAGAGCTCCCCCCGCCCCCGGCCCCAAACAGTCCAGTGGCACCTTTAAGACCAAGTCTTATTCAGATACAAGCTCTCCCTCCTCTGTGAGGACAGATCTGCACGTTGCCCCCCCCCCACCCAATAATAATCCAAAACAGTCCAGTGGAGCCTGAGCTTCAGAAGTGTATCAGAAGGTGTTGCCTTCTGAAACACTTCTGGTGATGTCAGGGGGTGTGGCGTATGCAAATAAGTTACGCTGAGTTATTCTAATGAGCTCCTGCACCTCTTTTTCTATGAAATATGACCCCTGGTTTAAACACTGACTTGTACCTCTCTGCTCCAAAATAAGGAATTTCAACTTTGCATGGGTGATCTTTGAGGATGCTATTCAGCAGATATCTCAGCCGATTTCTCTTCATGCCATCCACACCCTTAGGAGCCAAGCAATAATTATTACTGATTATAGATCTTCTTTTCCCCACCCCCCATTCATTCAATCATCCATTCTGCTTCTTGTCACTTATGCCTGCCGATTCATCTTCGGCAAATGCCCAGCCCTCTGTACCATGTGCACAGGAGACGTGGCCATTGTTCAGTGCCTCATCACAGTCATGTGATACATAGACGGGACTTCGGGTTCAGCCACTGTCGCCTATTTTGAGGCCCTAGGGAGAGCTTGGCTATGGCCTCTCAAAACGACAACGGGGTTGGCAGGCATCACTTTGCCCCACAGCCTCCTAAATGGGACCTTGAGATAAAATTTCTCAGGTAAAAGGTAAAGGTAAAGGTTCCCTTGCTCGAAAGCCAGTCGAATCCGACTCTAGGGTTGCGGTGCTCATCTCCGTTTCCAAGCCGAAGAGCCAGCGCTTTCTGAAGACGTTTCCATGGTCATGTGGCCGGCATGACTAAACACCAAGGTGCACGGAACGCTGTGACCTTCCCACCGAAGTGGTACCTATTTACCTACTTGCAATTTCTTGCTTTCGAACTGCAAGGTTGGCAGGAGCTGGAACTAGAGATGGGAGCTCACTCCGTCATGCAGCACCCGGGTCTCGAACTGCTGAACTACTGACCTTCCACAGCCTGCACTTCAGCGTCTTAACCAAGTAAACAAAATCAATGTTCTTAAAATTCCTTTCTTTCTTTTTTTGCAATTTAATCTTAAATGCATCAGGGAATTGTATTTTTTTTAAATCTTCTCTCCGCACCACCATGACCGCTTGAAAAAACCTCTTTGCCAAATGAAACGGTGTCCCTGCAGAACAGGGATAAAAAGAAGCAAGACAGGAACAGAAGCACAATGAAATAAAGAGAATGAAGACAAAAGGTCTATGGGCGGGCGGAAAGTTAAGCCAGGCAGTCACCCCACCCAGCGAGACAATTTAGCGAGTGAAGGGAAAGCCTTTTAGTTCTGATGCTGTGGCTCTGATTCACACCCTTTTTAATCTGGTATGATATTTATTTATCTGAAACAATCTCCTGCCCTGCTAAGCAACGGCTGAAACCTAGGGCTGCCAGGTCCGGGTTGGGAAATACCTGGAGACTTTGGGGGTGGATCCGGGAGAGGGCGGGGTTTGGGGAGGGGAGGGGCCTCGGCAGGGTACGACGCCACGGAGCCCACCCTTCAAAGCAGCCATTTCCTCCAGGGGAGCTGATCTCTGTCAGCTGGAGATCTGTTGTAAAAGCGGGAGATCCCCCAGGGCCCGCCTGGAGGCTGGCAACCCTACTGCAACCTGAGCTATACATCGAGGCAGCTCTGGAAGGGAAGGTTGGCTCAAGGTGTGCAGGTAGCCCTCTCATCCTCTTCCGCCCTGTAGCCTCGCCATGGCTCAGTTGGCTGCCAGCAGCTCAGACTACAGACAGCACTTCCTCACCCAGCAGCCAGCTGTTGCGGCTGATCTGCAAAACGAGCTTCATCACAACGGCCCCAGAAAGTACAAACTTGTCTTTGGGGCTATTTAATTTTTTTTTTTTAATTGACAACAAAAGAACATCAACTGGTTAGGCAACTTCAGTGGGTGGGGCTAGTTTTCAGCTCCTAGCCCAGCCTAATCCAGCTTGTAGTAGCACCAGGAGTTACCAAACGGAGCAAGTTTAATTGTCCCAGCTGCCTGAAGACGGAAATATCTGCCCCGTTGGCAGCCTCTGGACCTCGACAGCCCTGGGCTCAGGCACGTGAGAAGCTCTTTGGGGCTATTTAATTTTTTTTTTTTTTAATTGACAACAAAAGAACATCAACTGGTTAGGCAACTTCAGTGGGTGGGGCTAGTTTTCAGCTCCTAGCCCAGCCTAATCCAGCTTGTAGTAGCACCAGGAGTTACCAAACGGAGCAAGTTTAATTGTCCCAGCTGCCTGAAGACGGAAATATCTGCCCCGTTGGCAGCCTCTGGACCTCGACAGCCCTGGGCTCAGGCACGTGAGAAGCTGCCTCCATCAGCACCAAGAGGATGCTACAGGGGAACAAGCGGTCAAGGTTGCCAAGCTCTGTACGTTTCCATCTCTCTCTCCCTTTGAGTTCTTGCTTTCTCTTAATCTGTCAGAATTAAGGCAGCTGGTCTTGGGGTTTTGTACATAAATGCTGGAGTGCTGGGCAATGTTCCCTCTAAGCTGTGGAGTCTTGTGTGCAAAACTTCTACTTTGTGAGCAACTGGCATTAAAGCTGTGAGCCAGCGATTTGGCTACTGCATAAATTAGTTTGCTCTGGAGCCGTCCTTCCTGAGCTAAGACAAAAATCTGTGAGCTGGAGGCTAAAAAACTGTGAGCTAGCTCACACTAACTCAGCTTAGAGGGAACACTGGTGCTGGGCCCTTGCTCCAGCAGTCCCTCCCTCTCGTTCTGATGAGATGTGCGGTCATAAGTTTGTGCTTCGCTGGGGAATGTATAGGCTGCTTGGGAATATTTTGTGAAACGGGACTAGGGCTGCAATTCAGTTTGGGGATAAGGCACACTAAACTCAGTGGACTTTACTGCTGCTGAAACCAGGACAGGATTGAATGACATGTGTCTCTTGGCCACCTGCCAAGTACAAAGTATCTGATATTTTGGGGATCTGGATATGACTTGCGATCTGCAGACGAAAAGAGGAAAGGCCGAGATCTGCCATCGTGGCTACCTGCAAAAAGAGAAGTGATAGGCGTGATGAGAGTCTCATTCCACAAGGATATTCTCTAGCAATGTACGATTTGTGTGAGTGATCCTGTTTTGAGTGTGTATGCCTGGTGGTGTTGGATCCGAACGTGGGCTAAAATCCCAAATAAGCCGTAAATGGAGTAGCTACATAGGAATCTCAGTATTCTAGACATAATTCCTATCATGTAAAATCAGATGTGGTATATGAAGACATCTTCATATAACATACACATCAAGTTATGATCACTATTGTAAGGTGCGGCAATGGCCATTAGACTTTTAACATGATTAGACAAATTCGTGGGGGGGATACGTCTGTCAATGGCTTTCGCCATCAGAGCTAAGTGGAACCTCTATTTTTGGGAGGAATGTTGAGACGCTGTTTGACATGAGAATGGAGAAGAGCTTTATACTCTTACAAACGTCGTATCATTTAAGAATAACTTCTTACATAACTGACAAACAAAAGGAGCGGTCGAAAAGAGGGGCCCGGACATCGCACTTCTGTTTGCTCATCACAGGATGCAGCCTACAGAGATAAAATGACCGGTCAGATATCAGGTGATCAAGGCATCCTTTTCGTCACATCTAACTTTTTATGTTCACCTTGTCACCCTTAGATCACTGAAAAATATTACTCTTAGAAAGAAAGAGCCTGAATAGAGTGTTCTAAAATTAGACAGTTCACTTAAAACCATAAATCTTGTCCTATTGGATAAAGATACCAAGCACACAAGAAGGATGCACGCAAACAAGGACTTTGCCAAGTTCCTCCTGGCCTCAGATCTGTAAGCCAGCTCTGCAGGACATGGTTACTGCCAAATTCTGGAATGACTGGAATTCAGCTGTGCATTTGTGGATTTCAGGTTCTGTGCTCGAAGTACTCTTAAACCATCTTAGGATGCGCTCTGTCACAGTTTTGGAATGAATGCATGAAACATTTGCGAACTGTATAATTCTGGTGAGGGAAACCTCAGCATATTTTTGTTCATTTAGCCAGAAACCAAGGAAGCACGGGATAGTATGATCCTCTCTAGGACAATACAGACAAACCATTTACTACGTCTATACTTCCCCAAAGTCACATACAGTGAGGATCACTGTAACAGGAAAGCCTCCAGATACCCAAGCCCGCCAGACTTCCATAGATTGAGCAGCAGTAGAACAGGGGCCTAAAATCTAGGGTGGCAAGTGTCCAGAACAGAGCCTGAGATGTTAATTCTGGTAGACTGATTTTCATAGCTTTTCCGAAGCCAACTGTAGCATTGTTACAAGTGTTTACAATTATCTGATGGATATCCAAAGTTTGTCAGAGAACTACCATTCCCAGAATTTATTATACCATTGGGGAGTAGAAATGTTTTAATATTTGTTTTATTTATCTGCTTCATTTACAGCCCACCTTTCTCACAGAGACCTCAGCCAGTTTGGTTGGAATGAATGCATGAAACATTTGCGAAGTGGTAGGCATACAAACATTTGGTAAGCCAGCCATCTGTATAATTCTGGTGAGGGAAATCTCAGTCTATTTTTGTTCCTTTAGCCAGAAACCAAGGAAGCACGGGATAGTATGATCCTCTCTAGGACAATACAGACAAACCATTTATTACGTCAGTACTTCCCCAAAGTCACATACAGTGAGGATCGCTGTAACAGGAAAGCCTCCAGATACCCAAGCCCGCCAGACTTCCATAGATCGAGCAGCAGTAGAACAGGGGCCTAAAATCTAGGGTGGCAAGTGTCCAGAACAGAGCCTGAGATGTTAATTCTGGTAGACTGATTTTCATAGCTTTTCCGAAGCCAACTGTAGCATTGTTACAAGTGTTTACAATTATCTGATGGATATCCAAAGTTTGTCAGAGAACTACCATTCCCAGAATTTATTATACCATTGGGGAGTAGAAATGTTTTAATATTTGTTTTATTTATCTGCTTCATTTACAGCCCACCTTTCTCACAGAGACCTCAGCCAGTTTGGTTTGTAAGCCGCTCTGAGACACCTTTGGGTAGTGAAGGGTGGGGTATAAATCCAGTCTCTTCTTCTTCTCCTCCTCCGCTTGCACCTGGCTGGATGACCTTGGGCAAGCCATGGTTCTGATAAGAGCTGTCCTTGAAAAAGAGCAGTTTCTGTCAGAGCTCTCTCAGCCCCACCTACCTCACAGGGTGTCTGTTGTGGGAAGGAGAAAGGAGTTTGTTAGCGGCTCTGAGACACCTTTGGGTAGTGAAGGGCCGGAGGGTACAAATTCTTCTTCTTCTTCTTCTTCTTATCCCCTAGCTGCTAGTCTCTCTGTGTTAAATGATTGCGTGAAATAGTGTCAGAATGCTTTGCGACAGCAGTTTCACCTATACAAATGATCAAGAGATAAATATCATTAGCTCCTGGAAACTCTGCCGTGCGACTTCATCCTGAAGTGCATTATTGGAAGCGGGATGCAGTGGAATAGATGACTGTGATACGTACAGGTGGGATAGTCTTGCATGGCAAAGAAAGCTCCCCCAGCCTTTACTGACTAATTTGCATTCTTCTCCACATGCCTCCTGCCAGAGCAGACAAGACATCGCTTTTATGAGCTCTATAAATCCACTGCAAATGTAAGCTGTAAAGAAAAAAAACCTGCCTCTAATTAGCCTTTCAACCACATGCAGTGACAGTTCTAGTGCTTTCGGTTGCCTCCGTTTAGGCGTGTGTCCCATTGTGACACATGTATTTCTTTCTAGCTCTGGCACAGTCACCTCTGGCCTCTCTAAATGTGTTTTCATAACCTCTGATTCTGCATGGATTATACTGTCCTTCAATCATCTGAAACATTATTGGGGGGGATGCAGTGATTGTATGCTGACCACAAATGCAGGAAGATTCACAAGATGGCTGTCTGAGTGGACAGGCAGAATGTGAGGTCAGGAACCTGCTACAATGAGGGCCCGATAGGGCTTCAGGACCCATTTTATATTAGCCAGAAAAATTTAAGAAGGGTGTTGTGGAAATGCTTCTAAAGTAACGTTTAAGTTGTGGCCTACTTAGCTCTGAAATAATGACACACACACACACACACATGGGCAATCTGAAGCTTAATCCTCCCCTCCCCCTTTCCACTATCTGATGAGACCTCTGTGATAATCAAAAGCAAGATAGGAGTTTGGGTGATAATGTATGCAAAGAACTCTGAACTATGAATCTCTCTTATTAATAATTCTGTTTGGGTCATGGACTCTCCTGAACATTCCACACGCTCCCAAATCAGTTGGATCCCTGATCTGTCACTCAGAAGCTGTCACTCAGAAGCTGTCTCACCTCCAATATTCTAAACAGTTTGCTATTCCTCTCCCCCCAGTAGCCAGTCGGAACACAGAGGTCATTTGCATAGGCGGCCTGATTGGCCTTTGCCTCTAATTCTAAACAGTTGGCTGTTGCTATTGGGAGTCATTCAATGTGTCCTGAGGTAAAATACATATCCCGATATTCCCTTAAGTGATCACTGGAGTTGCCAATATCCCTGTGGGGCCTGGAGATCTCCCAGAAATCACCGTGTTCCCCAGCCACAGCACATCATTTTCCCTAAACAAAATTTCCCAGCTATTACATCCAGGTGACCAAGATCAGTTCTCCTGGAGACAATGGCTGCTTTGGGCCGTGGATTCTATGGCATTATACCCTACTGAGGTCCCGCCCCACCCCAAATCCTGCCCTCCCCAGGCTCTACCCCTCAGATCTACAGATCTGGCCCTCCCCTTAGTATTGCCAGCCTCCAGGCAGCACCTGGAGATCTCCAAGATCAGTTCCCCTGGAGAGAATGGCTGCTTTCGGCAATGGACTAGGCTTGCCAAGTCCCCCCAGGCCCAGGGGGCGGAGAAACCCCCGCCCCAGAGGCCCGTTCCCCACCGCCAGCGGATTGGGCCCCGGGAGGAACCCCACCCCGATGTGCACGTCACCTGGAAGTGACCCGGGCACGCTGGGGGCGGGGCAACTCTATGGTTTTCCCTCGGATGGACGTGGCCCCGCCCCAGCGTGCCTATTGTGTAGTGCGCAGCCGCGTGAACGAACGACATACGACCTTTGAATGCATAGCACGCTTTATTGGATACACAATAAGAGAGAGAGGAAATGGCCGGCCAGCCAACTATATACATTACCAGGGGACCACCCCCGGGTCCCATTGGCGGGTTATACTATCCCGCCTTGGTCCCATTGGTTTCCCCCAGTGGCGAGACTAGTACCCTAGTCTCATTGTTGTCCTGGGCTGAAGCATGGCCTCAGCCCCACCTACCTCACAGGGTGTCTGTTGTGGGGAGGGGAAGGGAAAGGAGTTTGTAAGCCGCTCTGAGACACCTTTGGGTAGTGAAGGGCGGGGTATAAATC